CACTCTTTTCAGGTCTCTGTCTTGCTCCACTGACCACAGAGAGGAAAATCCCAAATTTTGCTTTGCCAGGGGCTGGTTATTCAGTGACAAGAAACAAGGTGTTGAGTTCAACTTGACGCCTTGCATTATCTCACTTGGCCTCCAGCTCCTGCTCCATGGCTTCCTGCTGGTCCTGTGCCATGTCTACCTGCCCTTCACACATATCTCAGACAACCTGGTTGCCTCTAGATGACTACATGAAGGCAAATTAATTGAGCCTCCATTGCCTATGTAGAGTGACCTGAACTTCTCCCCAGGCTTATTGCTGTGCTGGCTCCACAGACAAACTCAGACCACAGAGCCCAAGTAGACACCTAGACATCTCAGAGTAGGCAAGAGGACTGTCCTGGCCAGGATTCCTGATGGAAGGGGGGATGAATCTGGGCCAGAGCATGGATCAGTAGCTGCCTCTCAAACCTTCCAGCTCCAACATGGCCAAGGAGAAACAGAAGCGCTTGAAGGAGAAAGCAGCTTCCTAAGTATCACCCTGTGAGATGCTCATGCAGCTAATTGTGATACCTGCAATCACTTACTCCAAGACAGTCTCTGCATTCCCCAGAGACGACTTTTAGCTCTGGGGTTCTTACTGTGACTATCCTCTTTTAGTCGTGTTCAGGACTCTTCCTTTTTATTTTTTTTTTTTAAATTTATTTTAAAATTTTTAATTCATGCACAAAATTCAGGGTTTTGCTCTTTCCAAAGGTGCATTTCCCACACCAAAACACGAAAACTTCAGTGTCAAGATCTCCTAACTCTTAACACCACAAATGCAACAAAACAACAAATCATCCCAAAACACTGAACAATTTTCTTCGGAGGCACTTGCAGAAGAACACCTACTCATATACAAACAAAACAAACAGCAGTAATCCCCAGAGGAGTGAAAACATGGGAGATTATAGTTTTCTTTTCATTTGCCCTGACACTGTCCTCTACCACACAGTGATGTGATGATGCATGTGAAAAACAGCAAAAGAGATTTTACTTTCAGTAACTCCCCTAAACTCTTTAGATGTCTACTTTGCCAACTGCTTCCAGATGATGACTTGCTGAAGGATGTACAGGAAGAAGATAATAGTATTTTCTTACTCCTTTCCCCCTACCCTTTAAGGACATGGGTAACCAGCCATGCATCAGGACTGCAATTGCTCACTCCTTTATCTGGTGTTTTTTCAATCTGGTTTTCTTTGAGTCTTAGCTTCTGGAGTCCTGTATTCAGGGACACACATCTCACATGTGAAATAAAAACAAGCATTTACCTGCCATGGCAGCAGAAAGAAGCTGGAAATGATAACTCTAGAGTGCCAGAATAAGGGAAGGAAGAGGAAGAGAAATAAGAATTCCCCTTTTTGAAAAGCTCATGATATTTTAAGCAACTGTCATAATTTTGGAAATATTTTCCATCTGTAATTCTTCAAATGGGTTGCTATGACAAGGTGTCCTTCACTGCAGCACAGGATGCTACCTTCAACCCTCTTTCATTAGGAGGAGAAAGACATATCCATTGTGCTGCAGAGGCTGAAAAGGTTTTTTTTTCTACATGGCCAAGGGGAAAAGACTTACAAGGTCAATTGTTGGCATCAGATGGCAAAATAAATTCAGAGCAGACAGTGTTCATGGAAACCGGGAAGCATTTGAGAACATCCTGCTGATGCCACTAACCACGATTCCACAAACGCAATATTATTGTCTTAAAAACAGTGAGGATGGCCTAAAGCCTGCTGTGCCTAAGATGCAACAATAAGACTACAGAAACAGAAACAGGTAAAGAACGGGGTGGGGGGAAGAGAAAGATACAACGCTAAGCCAATAGGCCTGGGCTTTGCCTTGTAGAGTGGCCTGGCACCTCCTCTTTGGAGGTGGCTGAGAACTGCCTTGACTACAGACAGGAGCCGCCTGTGTCAGTCTGCAATGAGGGGACCTGATAGACAGACACAGTCTCCTGAGGGCTGCTCTGCTTCTGTCCGATCCAGTGATTCAGTTTGCCTTGATGCAGATATCCATGGTATCACGCATATCTGACACCCAGCCTCTCCTGAGAGTAGGGCAGAAACCAACAGCATCATGGTGTCTTATCTGCTCCTCTTTTGGTGTCTGTTGTAGCATCTCTCCCCTTGCCACATCTCTGCTGCCTGTGGAGAAAAATTGGGTTACTTCCCTCCCTTGGAGATGGAAAGGCTGTGGACCCCAAAAAGCAGGTGAGATCCATCTCATCTAACTTCCAAGCAAGTCTGACAATATCATTCATGGTCAGCCCCATGCTTGCCATGGGGACTTCTGCCTCCCTCCAGGCAGCAGAGATAGAAGGGAAAACACAGCTTTGAGTAGCCAAGGTGTCCCCACGAATCCCTCATGGCATGCTCAGGCCTTGACTGCAAACACATACCCCTCACTCTCCTCACGCTCTCCACTCCCTCTGTCTCCATGTGACTTCCCAGAGCAGATCCCCCAATCTTTCCCCACCCTGTGAGCTCACCTATGGCATCCTGTGATGTGTGGGGAGAAAGCCGCATGGAAAGCTCTGCAGACTTCCCAGGTGGACCCAAACCTGAACTCCTGACAGCTTTCCTTAGACTTTGTAACACCTAATATCATCTAAAAGCCAGACACAGCTGAGAGCCTGATCCATGCTGTTCTGGAAAACAAAGCAGCCTCAATCACAGGGACAATGAAGGCTCCCCCCTTCCCAGGAACACAAATCCCATTTATTTCTCTCCCAAGCTCCAGGCCCTGCATTTAGGGCCCTGACTTCTCACCCTCCTCTGCCACTTCTCCTGGCTGGTTGGTGTAATTAACTTTCATGCTCTCATACCCTCACTTTCTTGACAGCACTTGTGGGAAAGGGATGTGCAGCAAACTCCTTGCACAGAGGATGCAAGAGGGAAGGCAAAGGCTCAGCAGGCAGGTTCTAAAGCAGGCAGCCCTCTCCTCTCATATTCCTGTAGGTAGAGCAGCCAGGAAATCTGCAGAGAGGGTTGGTTTGTCTGGTTTGTTTGTTTCTTTGTTTCTTGCTTTCTTTCTTGCTTTCTCTTTATTGCTTTCTCTCTCTTTCTCTCTTTTTCTCTCTCTTTCTCTCTTTCTCTCTTGCCTCTTCTTTATTTCTTCCTCTCTTTCTCTTTCTCTTTCTCTTTCTCTTTCTCTTTCTCTTTCTCTTTCTCTTTCTCTTTCTTTCTCTTTCTCTTTCTCTTTCTCTTTCTCTCTTTCTCTTTCTCTTTCTCTTTCTCTTTCTCTTTCT